TTCAGTTTCTTTAAATTGATATACGAGCAAATATTTTCCAAGCCCCTTTTCCAAATTGGATTTTTTATAATTAAGAAGAAACTGAACGAAAAAATGCTACAAATTCCAAAATCTTTGTACGTTAATTTTCCTATCCAAGGGTTCCGAAAGCGCGCCACCAGGGGTCAACTGTCAGGCTCTAAACCAGTCTTAAGATTTTCTCCAATTCACAACAAATTTCGTTAGATTTGCCAGGTCAGTTTAACTGTAATTTTTGCACTTTCGCACTTTACTAACAGATAATTCATGAACACGACGAATTAATAATGATAAACACAAAGCCGCTCGTGTTTGCGTCTTTGACCAATCACGTCGAGGCTTACCTCGTCAATACGTCGGCCACACGAGCCAGAAAATTATTTTTACCACAGTATTTTGTACATGCAAAACATGCATACACTGTCAATGCACTGGAAAATGATAATTTGGGTACAGCTGGTTATTCTGAAATGCTGTTTACTTTAGTAAGTCATGTGTTCTTACTGGTCGATTTTTTTCTTCAATTTATTCAACAGATCTTTTAACGAGATGAGGTTTATATTTGCAGCAATTCTGGAATGTCATTTGCCTGGCTATACCATAGAGTGTATAGAAACCACATGGCGTCACAGTGTGGTTTTCTGCATTTTTTTTTTAGAGTTCCTAATGCGTCTTGTCTGGGCTAGACAAACTGTGTAATCTGAAATTTATTTCATCTTTTCCATTCGAAAAAAAACTCATGCACTTAATTAAGAATCACCATGAAGATCAGCGTCTTGAGAGATAAATAATGCTATATAGGCCTAAATAGTGTATTTTGAACCGAAAGAGGGGTGGTCTTATGACGAATGCAGATAACATAAAGGCATTATGGAATGCTTATTCTCCATTCAGACTGATGGACTGTTGTTAAAGTGGTGATATCTTATTCTACAATGAAAATGCATCCAAAGGCACTAGCTTCGTTTTCTTAAAATGAAAAAAGTTAATCATTATTTCTTTATAATTCTATTCATTTGTATGACTTCATTTCATTCCATATACTACCGCCATTCCTAATGGGAAAACGCAAGAATTTTTACAACAAAAATCTTTTTCTCGCAAGCAATTGAAGGGAGGGAGGTCTTCTTTTAACTGCCACCAGGTGAGGGGAATGCTAAGCGTCCATCCCGTCATGTTTCCACCAAACGCGGGAGGCAAAAGAGGCAAAGAGCGGGCAAGGTATGATTATCAGCCCTGATCAATGAAGAAAACGTTTTCATCCTCGCGTCAAAATCAACGAGGTACAGGCCAAAAGGCCGAATGTATAGGACCCTGTATTGATTCCTTCGAGAATCAATACACGGCGCAGTTATTGTCGACAGCAACAGACGGCTACAGGTTTCACTAGTTAAGAGTAAGGAATATTATTACTGTTCTTCACCTGCAAGGCTAATCAATTTCTGCCTGTATCAGCGCCGGAACCAGAACATGGCCTCTTCAGAGACACTCCCAACAACTGGGTATTTTGTTTCCATAACAAACGCTGGGAATTTTTTACCTGGCTGTGTTCTTTTAGAAGTTGATAGTGCGCGATGAAAAAAGTGTGAACAAGTCATCACGTAGCAAAAATGCTATTAGCCGTGGTTAAAATATCTCCAAAGATGTACGAGAGGAATATGCAGTGACAACCACACTGTTCCAAAGACAAGTTTTGCAAGATTCCAAACTTCACAACTTTTATCCATGAAATGGTTTAAAATGTTACAAGGATAATATCGCAGCGTTCGAAGGCGAAGAGTCATCCGACAGTATCTGCCAACTTGAATTCTCAGTTCTGATTGGTCGATCCATGGCCACATGGCCACATATCACAGTGTGATATTATAGCCGTATTGCACGGTTCAGATCAAACCCTGCGTAATGCGCTGTTCGAACTCAACGCATTCGTTATTTTTTACCCTAAACGCTAACGAACATCTGCATGACTGTAAATTCAAAAGTGGTGTTTTTGCCCGTGTTGACTGTCACGTGTTCAATGCACGTACAATTCTATTTCCGTTTTCAGTGTAAGCCCTGTCGTTATTGTAATAATTCCCACGCCCCCTAGATAAAATTGCAGAATTATTGTGGTACATCGGTGTTACTGTTTTTGCTGTGCGCCGTATGATATCGTTTGTCTTCTTTTTTATGTAAAGCGCGTATATGCCCCTTTATTTTCCTTACTGCGTGTTAACTGTTTCTTGATTCTCACCACTTTTCCAAATATTACATCATTGTCTTCAGTACACGTACTCCCAACAGTTTCTCTATAATCATTATCTACGTCAAGTTTACTTGAAGATAAATTCCTTATCGTGCCCGCACTGTAATGTAGTTTGCCTTAGGCCTCGTGGCATACGGGACACAGACGCACTACATTATTCCGTGTTCCATCGTGCTCGTGTGATAACTAATATTATATGCTATCGTGTGGATTTCCAAGCTACAGTAATTTCGTTAAGGAAAATGCGTTATCAACTTAGTCTCACTTGCCAGAGTGCATGACACCTATATCACATTATGCAATAATATACTGCCTGCTTTAAAAGCCTACCGGTAGTGTATTGGCAGCGGTGATAATTTAATAATGGGAACAACCGGTTACAGCAAATTTCTCTTCATCCATATTACCGGCATTCGGGGTATAGAGCCAACTTTTCGTATAATAAGGTCATATTACTTTGAAAATGAATGGGTTAAATTAAATTTGAAAAGTTTTCAGTGCTGGATTTGAGCTGCCTTTTCGGACTTTTTAAGCGACAGTGTTACTGCCGATCATAACATCTCGCGATTCGTTAATTTTTCACGTCATAGGGCCTATGCCCTTGCCACCCGTGCTTCGCCAATTCGGTTAATTAACCGTGGAAGAACTCGGTGCAAGCAAATTCGCATTCCCAAAGGAAACCTCCTCTTTCTGAATTTTTTTAAACATCTACATTTTCCAGAATGCAAAACACGAACAGGACAGGCTTTGTGACAGCATGGGCGTAAATCCCGGGGGATTGGGGCATAATCCCCCACTTTTTGAGGAAGGGGCTACTGAATCGTCCCCCGCCCCCTCTTTCTGGAGAGCAAAACATTTAAGCAAGTTGTGAAGAATCTTTTAGACTTCCAACGATTAAATGCATTCAATATCACTCAAAAAAGGAAAACACTTTTGAAAAGCCATAAACATGCCATTTGGTATACGCATTTCAGATGTACATCAATATCATATACACTGACCTCTTATAGAGTCATATGGTGTCACACCCCCCGCTTGAAAATTTTCATGGTGAGGTAAGTCATCCCCTACCGTTCCCACCCCTTCCCCCCCCAATTTCCGGCACAAATTCACGCCACTGCGTAGTAGTTACAGTTATTGTTGAAACAATTTAGCCAAAACTTGTCTGTATTTTATGCCCCCAAATCGTCACCATGACCTTCAAAGTAAAGGTGGCTGCTTACTATTCAAGTGATTTTTTTCTCTTTTCCATTTTTTTTCTTTTCCATGGATGAATTTATAACGCAAAGAGTAAATCCGTGACAATGACAGCCGACTTACTGGCGAGGTTTTTTTCAGATAAAAATCGGGATGTCTTGTTTTGAAAAGGCGTCTAGACCTTCATTCTTTTATCTCATGAAATCAGGAATCAGAGACATACGTGTAGTCTGGTTCTCGGTCTGGTTCCCGGACGTTACAATACCAACTGAAGTGTATAAATTGTAGGTCTGGTAGCCATCACTGACCAAAAAAGGGAATAGACATTAATTTCTGGGATACTGGTGCTCACGTCTGTCAGTTTTTAAAAATTCACTAATATTCAAAAGTAGTTACAAGAATAAAAAACACAAGGAAATTGGGGGAAGTTGTTAGAATCGTGTGGCATAAGGAGATCACATGATTTATGCATAAATTTACATATTTCCAAATATTAACGACAGTTTCCGAGAAACGGCAACACTGGTCTAGCAAACAGCAGTTTCGGAAATTTGCGGAACAGTGGTTTTAGCGCCTACCGGACCTAAAGATTCTCTAAAAAAAAATCAGAATCATTTGGTTCAGAGAATCTCGCAACGTCTGAACCTAACAGTTGCAAGCCTTGTCAACGCTAAGTCCCCACAAAGAATAATTCATTGTCAGGGGATTATGTCTGTCATAGGCAAGAAGAGAGTCTCGTGAAATGGAATCCTCTTTATTCTCTGTCTAAATCTCAGCTCCGAAGGGAATTAAAGACAGACGAGCCTTGTAGAAAGTGTTTAATTTCATCTCAAGGAAATTTCATACTAAAGAGTCGTATACGGTGTCTGTCATTAACCATGCTTTGACAAGTGATACCCTTTTTGTCTGCTCACTTACATATTCCTCAAGGATGAATTTTGCTTTTCCAGGAGGGAGAGAACACGATTCCTATCTCCCAGTTTGTGTTTGTTCGAAATTAGAATTTGACATCTTGATCGACAGGCAGAAAATGCACAAGACGCTTTCATTTTATAGCCTTCACTGTCCTCTTCCGACACGCTTCCGGACAACACACGGGGACGTGTACTTTAGTCGCCCGTTGACTTATACTCGCGACCTACACGAGCCAATGTCCGCAATTATTTTAGATGAGTTAATATTTTTTCCAAATTGAGGATGTCGCTTACTTCCTCTGCCTTAAACAAAAACCCAAAACACGCCAGTCATTTTCGACCTTTGAAAACACGATTTGATGTTGATTCCCTTACTGAAACACGATAACCTGGGGAAACGTCTAGGTAAATATTGTAAAGAGAACACCTCATTGTTAAAAAAAATGACTACAACATGGCACAGTGGTATCCTTTTTAAATATATCCTTGTCAAGATGTACATGTAAAGGATAAAGTCTTAGGGCCCAGTTGATTCGTGGACGATGTAATTTGGGGCATTAGTCATTTTCAAAAATTTTCCCGTGCAGTTTTAAGTGAAACTGCCCTTTTCTGTTTTAAAAAATCTTTTCATAGTCAATGGCGGTAGAACACATTCGTTTACCTTTAAGTCCATGCTGTTTCATGGCAATTTTATTTTTCAAAACGTTATAGGAGTATAAAGGTATCCATTCTGTGAAGCTTCAGTCCAACTGGACACGATTTAAAGGCTTTTTTTGCCACGATAATTTATAATAATGCGTTCGTGCGTTTCGGTCCCTATTTTACTAACCCGTGTCAGTGGGGGAAAGTCGCTTTGGGGGCCTACTTCCGTACGGCAAGTCTTATCGCGGTTAAACTGGCCTCAATAATTCCTCTGGCAATTACTGGAGAAACTCATAAATGTTTGGGTCGAAGGAAAGGGCATTGCCATGGTAACAAATAAAATGCACGGTTGTCTGATTCTCAATTTCAGGGCCGAAGTCACAACTTGCTCAAAAGGGTTACTTTCTACTTACTGATTTACTTACTTATGTACAGGTGTTTGTATGGATGTACATTTGTTCTACACAGCACCACATAATTTCAGAAAACTTGCAAAATTTTCCTTTTCTTGAATTACATAGCTCAATACATCGACCCTTCTGCTTATTCAGGTCAGATTGGAAGATCCCCCCCCCAATGCAAAATAGTACTTTACATGAAAGTGTCAATTCATGAAAAAGACAACAAAAGTGACGACTGTAGGTAACTTTCAAATTCATATTTTAATGCATCATCACAGGAGTCACGTGTATTATGTAGCCATTTCAAGAAAGAGCGCCACAAGTACCTCTGTTTGTCGCCTGCGACGATGGGTGTGACGTGGGTCCGAACAACACTGTGTCTGCCTGTCGTTGCCGTATTCAGAGACGGGAAACCCATTCGATCTCCCTTTCCTTGCTTCCATGACGGTCATCTTTGAAACAATTTGGACCGCGATATATAGAGCAGCACAAGTATTAAAAATGATAACCAATTCATTTGACATTTTCCAGACAAATACATTGATCACTGAAACACTGTTTGAAAACATTGAAGAGCGGCTCAAGAGTGAGTTGTCACATAAAGGGTGAAATTAATGATACGTGTCAATATGCCGTATGTTGTCATTACACCAACAGTGTTCCTTCTTGGGCAACATCTCCTTAGCTTCAACATGTTATGTTATGTTTATAACCCCTACTGCATGAGATCCTTCGATTCTGCAGTTTTCCAGTGACGACACACTGCTCTCCCGGAGCGGCACAACGGGGGTTACCCGCACTGGTCTCGTCCTTGTCGAGCAGATTTTCAGCGGTGCCAAAATTTTGCAGAACGCCGTCCGGAACTCTGCGTTGCGGTAGCAGTAGATAACGGGATTGATGGCCGAGTTTGCGTACGCCGAGAACTCCAGTACCGTCTGCAGGATCAGGATGGTGTAGGCGTCCATGTCGATGAACACCTCCAGGAAGAATTTGAGCGACATGGGTATCCAGCAGGCGGCAAAGCCGCCCAGAATGATGGCCGTAGTCTTGGTGGCCTTCATTTGGGCCGAATGCTCCTGTGCCGTCCGGTGCTCCTCCACGCGGTGTAGGGCCCGGCGCAGCGCGGCGATGCGGTTGGCCTGCAGCCGGGCCTTCCGGAATATGTGGAAGTACATGAGCCCCATGGAGGCCAGCACGGTCGGGATGCCCAGGGCAAAGATGAGCATGAAGAGCTGGACGGCGTGCGAGGGCTCGTAGTTGGCGTTGCACACGTCCTTGTCCTCGCTTGAGCCAAAATTGGGGATGATCCCAACTGCCAACCCGGACACCCACACGCAGGCGATTATGTAAGAGTACCGGCGTGGCGACATGGTGGTGTGGTAGACCAGCGGCGTCATGATGGCCAAGTACCGTTCGACGGTGATGGCCAGCAGCTGGAAGATGGACACCGCCGAGAAAGTGAACGCAGCGGTGAAGAACACCATACGAGTGGCCGTGGAACAGGTGACCTTGTTCTGGAGCAGTCGGCCAAGGATCGCCGTGGGCACCCCGACCAGGCCCGTCAAGAAGTCGGCCACGGACAGGCTGACGATGAAGGAATTGCCTCGCTTGCGCAGGCCCTTCTCCTTGTACACGGCAAGCAAGACCAGCGAGTTGCCGAACAAGATAGCCAGAATCAAGGGTGAGTACACCCCAACAAACGCCGCGACAAATTCGCCAGGGATCGTAAAATGTTGCACTTTAGTCGAGTTCGCCGGAGATGTGGGCGAGGATTCAGCAGACGCCATGTTCGGGATTGTCCACAGAAATCCACATACATCCTGTTTCTAGCACAGCATTACTCAGTAGCGAGTTTTGTCTTCCGAGCTAACCACCCAAACGATCTTGCAAGTGCCGAGGCTGAGGGATAGCCGCCGTCTAGTCCCATTAATGATTGAACTCGGAATGAATTGATGCTGCACACTCCCGGCGATGGTACTCCAGCAAGCTCTCGCCCTGCTTCGCAACACACCATCAGGTCCGGTAGGGAGCAGGCAGTGCGGGGTGGACACAATGATGAGAGCATCTCAAAGTCCGATTTATGGGTAATGATGAACCATGCGGAAAGTCAGGCATACGATCGTATCTACCCATTGAAACCCACGCCACTTCGCCCTAAACAAATAATCTTCGAGTTTTTGAAAGTGAGACGACGATATCTTCGCCAGCAACAAAACTAAGGGGGGGGGGTGTCACGTTGGTCAGCCCGTTTGGTTGCAGTGCATGCATTGTATCTTAGAAACGACTTCGTCTGGCTCTGGCGATCTCCACTAAGCCCATAATTATTGTCTACGACGGCTTGGATACTCGCTGGACAAAAATGACGAAAATGGCCCAATCATTTGCAGTCACTGATTGTGGAAGGGTCCAGAGGTGGCCGATGAACATGCTGTAACTAAAATTGCCGCGATTGAAAAAAGATGACGAGAATTTTCTAAGAAAATGATCCCAAGCGTCGGCAGTGAGGTGTTGGAGAGCCACGAAATCTGATGAATTTCTGTATTCTCCGAGCGCTCTAAATTCCTGAGTCACGTGGAGCAGGTGTCCTGTTCGAGCTTAAAACGACCAATTTGCCTGGAGCCCGACAACCTGTTTCCGATTCGCCACCTCGTCCACGCCTCATTAAAATTCACTTTTCTCCTAAGGCGTGCCATCGTACTGAGGCCTCCCTCTTTTTCGCAGCATCCATCCCACAATAGAGTACAGTCGCTCCAAGTCCATCAAAGAGTTGTCGTGTCGTGCCGGCTTCAATTCAGTGACCTAAATTTAGACTCCATACAAAACACGAACCCTGAGCCAGCGAAGGCGTACTAATGTGTAGGCTACCTATACCTGTCACGGCCAATATCAACGCAACACTGGAGACGTAAGCTGCACTCAGTGTCGATACAGCGCCTGGCGGCTGTTTGGTGCGCTTGTGCGTGGTAAGCATGCACACTGCCCAGGAATCGATAATCGATCGGTAACAGAAAGTTGACCAAATGTGCATAACAAGCCGCAGTTGCATTTGCTGTTTAAGTTTTTGAATGCATTTTTGCTTCAACTGATCGATAATATTTCCCCTCATTGTAATTCCACGTTTCGCACACATTTCTCCCGTCGCGGAGGAGAGCCCAGAGCGCATGTGCAGTTCATCACCTGCCAAACCCACAAATCCATCTCCGAATTTTTCATCCCTCGAGAAATTTGGTGCATTCGGTAGTAACGTCTCGTTTTCCCCACGTTTCCATTATTAGTCGTCGGAAAAATTACTTCTCTCCTTTTACTTCGCACAGAAAAGCATTGGGAAAAATACGCACCGGGACTTTTGGAGCAAGCCAAATACAGACCACAGATGGTTAACAGAACTAAGCAGTTAATGATATCGATAATGTAGTGGAATTATCTCCAAGGAAGCCGACAACCATCAGATTCTCCACCAAAAGATCAAACGGAACGTGACATCAGTTTCCAATAATTAGTCATGACTTAACTAATCAAAACATGTACTTAGCAGATATGGACGAAAATGGACTGGTTATTGTAGTTACATGTACACTCTACACGTGGAATATTAAAGGTAGACCTCTCGTCATTAGGTTGGTGTGCACTCTACGCCACTCGAGAGGGTCGTGACGCGGTCGAAGTGAGTATTCATATATTTACGGCCTAAATACATAACATAAATAGAACTAGTCAAGTACATGACACTGTATCCGACGAGCACGCTTCGTCGCTCTTCTCGCCGCCCTTTAGCCTCTACTCAAGGCGCTTGTGGCTACCTGTAGACACCACAGGCACGTCGGCTGCTGGCATGACGAAGACTTCGCCACTCGCACCGGTCTTTTCAAGTTCATTTTATCAGCCAAGCATCCATGGTGTACCGGTGCCACGGGCGCTTGACTAAAGGCTAGCCACCCTTATACAGGGCACCGGAAGGCTAATGCCAGTTCAGAATTTTGCGAAAGAAGTATGTCACAGCTACAGGCGCATAAAGCACTGTGGTTCGACACTGGCCGCCGTACCCTTATCAATGCATGCATATTCAAAAACACATGTCACGCGCTAACGAAATGTTAATCCGTTTAAATGAACTCTATCCAATGAGTGCTCGGCAGACATTACGTCATGCTTCTCAAAACAGCTTCATCAGCCAGGTGCATAAGGACACGCTTCGTAACAGATCACCGGGAGATTCGATACTTGAGTTTCTAATTTGCGTTGGAATTGAAGCGCAGCCTGCAATCGTATTAGTTAGCCTACGTGCTTTGGGAACGAAATGCGTTCTGATTGAATATTGCCCCATCGGCGACAGCACATGGAACGCTCTGAGGACGAAGTAGATAGGAACGAAGTTGACAAATGCAACCAGAGAGATGCAGAGAAATCAAAATGAAAAGCTTTTGAACAGTGCCGAGTCTCACATTCACTTAAAAAAAAATTATTTAGATTTGTGTACCTGTTTCAGAAAACGGGTCCAACTATAGGCCAAAGAAAAACAGTTCCCCGCTTCGTCTTTACTCGACAATTTCTTTCCTTGTTACTTCCTGAAAATATTTATCCTACATCGCGAGAGGTCGTCCTACAGTTTCCTGAGTGGATACAGGTGAGATTTTTTCTTCACTTTTAGTATTTTTCGCCCGTTGCCCCGCGCCCGAACAGGGCGCTGGAAAGGGTTGATGGCCTTGCATAGATGTTAGTGAAGGAAATGCGCCACACGAGGTCACAGCTAACGAAGCGCAGAGCATTGTGTGTAAATTTCTGCCAGGCACGCGAACTCGCTTAATGCGTTACACAAACGGCTGTCATCAGTTCAATATTTTTTTTTATTTTTCCTCATTGCTGAACATATTCTCACTACACTATTTCTTCATCCTAAATTGATCAAGACAACCAATGATTTGAAGTATATCGCCAAAAGACACGCAGTCAGGGATAGGGCCTACTTAGTGAAACGATAAATTACCACACTGTGACCGTACCAAGGCCATGTTTTACCATATAGCCGACACTTTACCTGTACCATCAGCCCTTCCCAGCGCCCTGTCCGGGGCTGCATAGGCGACGAGCGAGTTTAGTATTTCTGGTAGGATCTTTGGTGTCTGCATTAAAGTGTGCAATAAATGTGCAATGTGCAGAACCTGTGTCAAATCTGATATAAGAAAACTACACAGGCTTAATTACTAAGTTCGATTGTAACTCCCTTTCCAAAAAATGTTACATTTAGATACGAAAATTGAGTTCCATAGTTTAAAGCTCATTTTCAGCGCGATAAATATGGCCTTGTTTGCACAAGCGAGTGGTGTGTCCGATGCAAACACAGCAGTCACGGACTCTGGACCCGACACAGTAAACATGCTGCGAGCACTTGCATTTCGCGTTTCTTGATCGCTGGCGCCATTTTAAATCAACCTGACTAGTTGTCTTTGGTTTTGAAGAGACTTAGTAGTTGGAGGAACGATGTCACACGATTTCCCGTGAACGGAGGCACGACCAACAGCAGTTAAGTGATCCAGTCCTTGAGTTACCCGTCGGTAGAGGGAGCTGAAGTTGAAAGACCAGCATGAAATGTTGACGACAACAGCGCAGGAAAGTATGCATTCTTCGCAGATAGATTTTACATTTTATAGTAGTCTTTAATTGAACTGTTTCTGAATTCAGTCACTTTCCAGTCATCTTCGAGGCTGTAGATCCTACTCTCCTTTTGCCCATTACTCACGGCCTGTTCTGGGTTCTTAGTAAACACTATGCAATCCTGAACAGGAACAAAATTCAGTGCATTTTTAAAATGTCGAAAAATCGTTTGTTACATACAACACCCGGTTGGCAGACTTACTAGTTAGAACGGACATTATGCATGTACATAACATGCAGTGTGTGACATTTAATTCTAACGCTTTGTTGCACAAAATCACAGTGTTCATTTGACAATGCAGTGTTGGCGGTGGTTATGGTGCTTCGACTTGCACAATATTGTACCATAATAAAGGTCAAGCTATACAGCGGGGAACCATCATTCATTCCAACGCAGGCATTAACAGTAGGATTCTAGACTGTAATTACTCCGTACATTGCAGTGGCAGGAAATCATTTTGCTGCCTAAAAAAGGAAAATTAGACGGGAAGGAGTCGATTTATTTTGTGAGGTGGAGCCTTCATATCAGCAAAGAAGTACATGTATCCGCCTTTCCTAACTCGCAGTTTTTGGTATAACATGTTTTTTTTATCCAAGACAATCTTCTGATACGCTGGAGAGTGGAATCCGAGTAGTTTAATCAACAGTATCGTTCAGCTGAGTGATACGATTCAGTTCAGTTCACTACTTATCTTCAGTTCAGTTAGGGCAGAAAGTTTGTGTCTCATTCGTTCCAGATCCACAGTCGGCTAAGATGATTCAACGAGCCAAGCGGGCTCTCGTCGTGCTAGCGTTAGTCGTCTTAGCGTTTGCCACACTCACCGGGGTACGCGTGACAAACCTTTTCGGCAGGTAAGCATCACGTTTTCTTTACGTAACGATTTTTTTTATAATGATCAACAAGTGATTATCTGAAAAAGGGATCAATGTAGCAGAAAATTTGAAGCGCTGATGGAAACCTTTATGATAAGTCTACCATAAGTGTACGGCAAAGATATCTTGATTTTTTTTGGCTGTGAAATGTGCATCGCACGCGTGGATATTTGAGGCATAAAAATCAACGTTTAAACTGGTCGGATGTAAAAAAAGCAATCTTGTTTCGTGGTTGTTTTTTACAAGTAATAGGCCTATTGACTGAGTCAACCAGGGTATCGGGATACAGCGGATTCGACTAAAAATATATCTTTCGTTTTTACAGGCCTCCAGAACTCGTGTCTGAATTAGTTTGGCTGAAAAAAAGTGTTTGGTTCAAAAGAAAAATCACACCCATTCTTCCTAGCAAAATAAACGGTGGTCTGGCCAGCAGTTAAGGTCTAAAATAGTCAGAATCACGATGTTTTCGTATGGAGAGGGCGCCGCAACACTGCACTGTATAATTAAACGAATCCTTGTCATTTGAGTCAGCGCAGCTTCTCAAATAATTATGGGAGAATTATGCCGTTTGACACAAAACGGCCCGCTGTCGATTCTGGTGCCAAATTGTATTTATGTAGTCAATTGGTGAACTGTCTACCACTGTGACGAGTCTCTCCTACGATTACGCTCCTCGTCTATGGAATTGATTACCGGTAACAATACCATCTGTTGCTACTTTTGAATTTTTGTTCTAAACCTGCATGTCTTGAAATTTATCTTTTTAGTCAGCATGTGAATGTGTGTAGTTAATTAATTAGTTCGATGCAAAAGTGAACCAAGTTTGACATCACGAAACATGGCAGCGGAATGTGCATAAATTTAAATGTGCAACTACTGCGATGTTGTAACATGAAGATTTGATCTGAAGTCAAAATGTCGCGTCCGTGTTTGCTTTTTTTCTTTTTTTTTTTTTTGGTCTTTTTTTTTCTTTTGGTCATACTCTACAATTGTACAGAGCTTTGGGATGCCTTGCCGGCATGAGAAACGTTTTTTAATATCGCCATTGAAAACATAAAAATTCTTAGGTGCTACGCACACTAACGGATTCGAAATGGCTATAGGAGCATATTTGGCTACCTTTTATATATGCTGTGCATACTTGTACATGTACGTGTGACTAGTTCCCACCTGATGAGAATATACCTTTCTGGACTATGATTTCGTCTGACTATAAGCTCCACACACTGCAGGTTTGCTCCTGGTTGAAAATATCTTAATTTTTCCTGTATTTCATAGTCACGGGATAAACCAGCGAACCTCCTTCAGGCTAGGGGGAGAACAAGCCAAGATCAGGAAGGTCTTAGAGAGAGACAAGTTACTTCAGGCCGAGTCTGGTGAGATGAAGGAGCGGGACCTGGACGCCGAGAGGCGGTGGGGAATAGGAGACAAAGACGAGCATAGACCGGACCTGGCAGTCAAGAAGTAAGCCACAAACGTTATTGCCAGGAGAGAACTTTCATTTCCTTTTGTGCAGTATGAATTTTGGTCTTTCCAGACCCAAAACTGGAACAAATCAGAAAATCTTTGTACTCTGCAAAAGCGATGGTGTTACTTTAACACCCTGTTTATTTGCGTCCACCAGTTACGGCGTTGGCCAGTATAGATTTCAAGGGTGTTAAATTAGCCCCAACCTGCACACTACCATTTTTGCACTGTGTCAAGCAAACAATCAGCTTGGAACCGAAGCCTGTCAGTAGGAGTAATTGGTGAGTTTCTATGGGGTAGTTACTCTATCAACGATCTGACTCCACCTCAGACAGGTCAACGCTAAGGTCATCACCTTGAAAGACAGACCTGTGACAGACGAGGTCAACTTTAGGGAGTATGAGAAGAATATCACCGACTGGACGTGGAGACTAAGTCGCAGAAACATCACTAGCTTCAGGTCGGTGTAAACCATAAACTTTATTCTTTAAGTCAAAGTTAGCCAATTGTAAAGGTGCACATACATCCTTGAGCAGCCGTTCATGAAAGTGACTTTCATCGTGAACCAACCGGTAGGTCTATCATTTTGAGGCATAACGAAAAACACAAGAAGCCTCTGTGAACGTATTTTTCTCGCTTGTCTGACCTAAACTAAGCCCTGCCGTGGAGAAATTCCTCAGGATAGTTAGCCTTATTTCTTGCCTAACGATCCTCCAACACAGGAACGAACTAAGAGCTGCCAGAGTAGACGTCCAAAGGCGCTTCTTGACATCCAACGCAACCCACAAAGTAGGCAGTAAGGTAACTGCTTACCTGTCGAGGAACAACGTTACGTTCACCAGTACGTTCGCGAGGTATCAACCTGAGGTAAGTCTGGGGCGAACTGATCTAGTGTAAACCTTGTGTTGGCCTTACGTTTGTGGTCGGGTCCCGAAGAGTGAAAACGTATGGCTCTTGAATCGTGAACTTATTTGTGTCTGATTTAGGACCATTTCTTGCCACGTTTGCTACTTGAGGATGTGATAGATATGAATAAAGAGATGTCATATAATTATTATATTTATTTAGTTGGTAAAATACGTGTATACGACCAGTGTTGCTTTGATAAATGGCATGCGCTTGTTTGGTTGCCATGGTGTCACGGTTCCCTTTTTCCTTTCTTTTGTCCAGGTCTCTCCCTTTCTTGGTA